TTTGAATCAAAGGTTTCATGAAATCGAAATCGATTCTTTTTTAGATATCTGGATAGATGGATGGATCTATCTTTCTATTTAGATATCTTTTGCAATCAGCCCCAAATCCTTGATTTGGCTAGGAAACAAAGCACTGCTTTGGGCCTAGGAAGCGAAGGGAATGAGCTCAGCTGCTTCTCCCCCACACTTCTTTATTTCTCCGTGCCCCTTCCGCATGCGCTTCGCGCGCCATTGGCGCTTTGCTCTCCTCTTATTTCTTCATTGGAGGGTTCGGATGGACTTTGCCGTTCTTTCCCAACGAAAATGGAAAGGGCTATATCACATCGAGATGTCGATTCGTTTTCCACCCCAAATGAGATGGGGAATTAGTCACCTCTGTCCCTTCATCTTTTTGAAAGGAATCGAGGCCTGGCCCGGCTCGCGTCATTCCAACAACCGACGGGGAGCACCTCAGTATACGATCGCGCGCAGTAACTGGGAGTCCTATTATACCTAAGGCCAACTTCCATTCACCAAACCCAGGTTCATCTCGTGTAGTGATTGTGGACTCGTACAAGGATATGGAGTCGACGGTTGATGTATCAGACTCGACCCTGTCTTTCGTAGCATGCATTCCCATCTGTGTTGCAACTGATTCGGTAAGCTACATGTCCGGTGCACGGAAAACTGCCTTCAGTCTCCCAACCTTACTTATGGCAACCTTCCGGCCGCCCAACGACCTATAATGCTAGTCACTACTCCCACTGGGGCTAGGAAGTAAGCCCCACAACCCAAAGCGGCGAAGAACAAATAGAATTTGCTACAAAAGCCGGCTAACGGGGGTATTCCTGCGTATGAGAACATTGTAATGGAGAAGGTCATAGCCGAAATAGGATTCGTTTTGGCTAGAGCGCCCAAATCCGCTATATATTTGACACGGGTTTGCCGTAATGCTGGAACTATGGCGAATGCATCTATCGTCATTGATGCATAAATAAATATACCAATTAGTAGTGATTGAATTCCTTCTATGGTTCCACATGAGAAACCAGTACGAATATAACCTACATGTCCAATCGAACTATGAGCTAGAGGTCTTTTGACTTTCGTTTGGGCCATGGCGGCCAGTGCTCCTAAGATCATAGAAGCAATGCTGCAGAAAAAGAAGATTTGTTGTAATGTACCCCCATAGGAAGCAACAATAGAAACACGTGACATATTTGCAGAAATAGAGATTTTAGGCGCAATAGAAAGGAATGCTGTCACCGGGGTGGGTGAACCCTCATAGATATCAGGTGCCCACATATATAGAGTCAAAAGAGATATTGAGTCCGAGGGAGAGGGGGGTTTTCTTGGGGCTCGAGAGATTGAATAGATAGGGCCCCACAAGTTGTTAATTCGCCGTTGGGGAATTCACACAAAAGGGAAGGACTTATTCTCAACGAAAAAAGTGCTCTCTGAACCGAACGTGAAAGTTGTTTTCCATCAGACGGCTGTTCACGTAACTCCACTCTCAGCTTGGATTATATATCCATTTGGTCCGCTCTCGGCCATTCCACACGCTGCCTAGCAGAGACGTGGTTATATGAAGTGGATTCTCTCTTTTGTAGTAGATGCCGAACCTGCTGCTCAGTGGGCGGGCGCAGCAGCTACATGGACCCCTTTCTTTATGTTGTTGCCAGCGCTTTCCCGGGCCAAGCCGGAATTCTTTATTAGAACGTCGGCAGGCAAAGCCCGAAGGAAGGCTGCTATCCCCTCAGCCTTCTTCCTTTTCGATGAAAAACAAATCGACATCTCAATCTCCGAAAGCGTTTTCCTTACCCAGCTAATACCCCCCCTTCGTCGAGCCTTTCCTTCAGTGGTAAGGGATATGCACCTTATCTGAACGTCGGCAGGCATTCCGGAATTCTCCTTTTTTGGCCCCGGGTGAACATAGGCTCAGACATGATTGGAGGGGTCCTAGCTACGCCATGCGTTCAATAAAAAAAAGCAAGCCTCTGGGAAGCTGCAGGGATTACAAAAAGAGGGTGCTTTCCTGTGTTGCACAGAAAAAAGGAAAAAGGAGAAGACGCTCTTCGACTTTCTTTCTTCCTCCCGCGCCCGCCTAAGCCCGGCCCGCGTTAGAGGGGAAGATTAGCAAAGCGGAAAAAGACAGAGGGAGGGGGAGCTGCATCTTATTCTCTTCGCGAGAACTTCAGGATCGGAGAAGCATTCGGAAGGGGCGAGGCCTTCATTTCGTTGGCAGAAGCAGAAACGATCCATTCCATTCGGGGCTTCGGGGAACCCAAAAACGAACTCTGTTTACTTTTTTTCATAGATAGATGATATATATAGGAATAATATATACATCCCTTTACTTGAGATGTCTATGTATCTATTTTGGAATCATCTCCGGATTCTCTTTTTTTTCTAATTCGCACTCTCTTTCTCTCTAAATTGCATCAAAGAAAATAGAGAGAGAGAGAGAGAGCAGACGGATCCTATACCCTATAACGAACACTCATTCCTATCAATTGATAGAAAAGAAAGATCTTCGTCACAGACTTTTTCTTTGTTCATTTTTTTAGATTGGAGGAATTCCTCATATCCAAGGCAGCTCCCCACAAACACCCCACCCATATGACTATGCCCCCTTTTGAATCGACAGTATAGATTGGGCTTCATAGCTACTTTCATTCTAAAGACAAATATTAGTCAATAGGCAGGCTTCTTTCAGTAGCAAACATATTCATTTTCACCGGGCTCCGCGCACCTTTGGTACTTCTGGAGGGCAAGCTATTTTATAGTGACTTCTTTCTTAGGGTAGGGCGACGAATACTTCCAATTCCGGAAAGGTCATTGGGTCGCCTTTGGAAGCTAAAGCGAAAGTTGTAGAAAGCCGGGAGAAAAAGCGAAAGCTTGCTCAAAACGGCCTATACCCTAACCCTCGGAAGCGAAGACGCAAAGCGTCACTTTTTTCAAAAGGAAGGAGTTTTTTCTGACTGAATCCATCCATAAAGCCGCCAAGGAAACGAAGTTCGTTCCCTTTCATCAAGTGGGTAAGGTAGGCAAACCACTTAAGCTTTGCCTTAGACTGACGGAACAAAGCTAAGAAGTAGGCTGAATGGAAAAATGAAAGGGACAAGGGCGGTCGTCGCTTGGCGCGAAGGCTGCTGGTTCGGTACGGTACTAAAGGTCCTCGGACTTCCAGGCGGTTTTTCTTTTGGGCTGCTGTGAACCCTTGGATCTCGCCAATATAGCCTCCTATGGTTTTCGTTACCGAGATATCTTTTCTTTTTTCCCAGGGATTTTTTGGGTAATCAGCTCCCATGCTACAAACAGTCAAATCTGAACCTTGTCGCTCTTCTTTCCTCGTGGGCAGGAAGCACACCAACAGCGTGCGTCGTGTGATTCCACTGTGTTTTTTGCACTTGACTGGGTTGACAGTTGACCGGAAGATAACTTCGATTCGCCCGGCCAGCAGGCGGGCGGCGTGCTTATCTTGTGTGACAACACTACAGAGCGAGTAGCTTTTCTAGTCGGGCAGCTGTGTGACAACACTCCTGAGAAAGCGGCGCTTTTGTGTAACATGCTATGGTCTCAACGCCCTTACGAGGTAGTGATGAGTTTCACGTGCTCTAAGCCCGGCCCGCGCACAGTTAGGAGGATTGGCCGCTATCTGAGCGGTACCACCCACCCTACCCTACTACCTATTGGGGGCCGTCCGTCCTACAGCCGCCCGAAAAGGAACTGCAGTAATCTTGAATAGGAATCCTACAGCGATAAAAAGAATCCCCATAAAAATACAACGAGATCGAGCACCAGTGATTTCGTATCCGGTCAAAATCTTGGCTAATTGATCGAAGTGGGTAGCTCCAGTAGACCCATAGATCATGGAACAAATAGGGTGGGTAGGCCCAACCACCACACTACAGGTATAGACGCGAACCCCCCTCCTTACCGTACGTGCGACTCTCACCGCATACGGCTCGCACAAAGACTCCAAAATCCATCCCGAGCTTTTTATTCCACCTCTCCCTCCTCTCCAATCCTCGATCAAACTAGCCTTCCCCAGGAAGAAAACGTATCCGCTTTAGCAACAAAGCGCTCATCCCTTGCTTCTTCTTGAGCGTGCAAGGCGCTCAAGACGGTGATTCTTGCTTAAAAAGGGCTAAAGCACTCCAGCTTCGAAGCTAGAGTTTGCAACTTCAAAACTACAGGTTTTAGCCCTCCTTCTGGGTGGGCGCTTCCTTCGTCTATCGTATGTCTCGCTTGGCTTCGTCCCGAACCAAGGAGGCATGATGGCGGGCACGTGCGTGTGCCGACTGCAGAGACTACAAGCCGACGCCGGAAGCGACTCGCTTCTATTCTCGATTGGATATAGATGGGGAATCTCTATAGATCGTCTTTTTTCGACAACCTCTCTAAAACGCATATGAGAAAATTGCACTTCACGACACGGCAAAAAAAAGAGCTTCGCTCGGTTGGCCATCCTAGGCTTCCGCCTACTTTCTCTTCTCTTAAGTCTACAACAAGTGGGAGAGGCAGGATTCGAACCTACATAGAAAACCTTCAACAGATTTACAGTCTGTCGCTTTTGACCACTCGGCCACTCTCCCCTTCCCGGGGATACGCCCTCCTCAAACAAAGGGTTCCTGAATAAGAAGGATGGCGGCCTTCGTTCTTAAGTTAAGAAGAGCAGATGGAACTATTAGATTTGCTAGCGTTCCGGGAGAATAAATAAGGTCATTTAGTAAGTTCATAACAATCCATTTATGTAAAGCAAGGGGCAAAGCTTCTACGACAGCTTCCCCCTCATTGCCATCGTCGGCCTTCCCCAGCTCCCCTCCTTCGTCGCTTCTGGCTAAGCATCTTTCGGCGGAGGAAAGGAGGCGATTAGTCGCTTCTGGCGAAGCAGCGAGTTCATGAGCAAGTGAATGAACAAGCAGCGAGTGAAGTGCAACAGTCGTAAGTAAGGCTCGCCATGTACCTAAAAGGAGTTACCATCTTTTCTTCCCTTCTACTGACACTGAGCGAGCAGCAATCACAGGCAATAGTTTCCGTAGGGGTGGGGCGCAAGCAAGCGTTTTCAGGCTCCGCTAGCTAGCATACTCTTCTGCTATCAATGAAACCGAAAGAAAAAACCAGTGCCCTTTCGTATAGATCGAGACGCAGTACTTTTTCTTTACTTCTTCCATACTAGGAAGAATGGAAGGAAATCCTTCGATAACACTTCTTCCTTATTTGAAGAAATGATATCCGACGCCCGTGGAAACTCTTTCATTTCAAAAAAGTTCTTCTTCTTAATAAGCAAATAGCATTTCCTATTGATTTGTCCCCAGGACTAGACCTATGTAGATTCGGAATTATCCATCGCTACACTGTTCCCAAGGACTAGCAAAATCGAAATAGCGAAATTCTTGGGTCATCTCAATGGGTTCAGAAACCACATGTTTCTCTGGATCATCATAGCGTACTTCCACATATCCACCTAGAGGAAAGTCTTTTCGTAATGGATGACCCTCGAAACCATAATCTGTTGATATACGGCGTAAATCCGGATGATTGATGGAAGAAACACCAGACATATCCCATACTTCTCGCTCCCACCGGCCGGCTGATGGAAATAGACTGACTACCGGAGATATTCGTGTTACTTCGTCTGCACTTGTTTGTACACGAATGCGTGAGTTATACCGAGTACTCAGTAAATTATGGACGACTTCAAATCTTCGTTTTCGAGAGGGATGATCCACTCCGCAAATATCGATCGAAACTTGAACCCTTGTATAGGTATGCCATTTTAGAAAGCACAACAATGGAAATGGGTAGTCAGTATTGGTATAAGATCTATTCCCATGTTCCGATCTTTTCATTTTATGTACCCATTTCTTGGGTAAAATCTCCCAACTATATTGGAAAATGGATTGGTTATCCATAAATGAAAATAAAGAAAGCTTTATTTTGGTTTCGCTTCTTGCTCTAAGCAGAAAGACTTGTCGGAAATCGCCGGTTGGGTTGGTCCGACCAAGAAAGGCATGGGAGTGGAGAGGCAGAAGTGAAAGACTGGCTACCAATAAAGATCCAAAACTGCACACACACTTTTTAGAGTTATGTATCCAGGATCGGCTGCATGCTCTAGTGTTGAATCGGGTATAGAACCCAGGATGCTTGGTGACAATTCCGAATCCGCTAAACCATCGCTCGGGGAAAAGTATTATACAGAGCATTAGTACTTATTCTGATCTTTTCCTTATATTTAGATTCTAGTAGTTTATTTCAGTCGTATTCGTATCCTTACTGCGGTTTTTTAAGGGTAACAAATAAAAGTATGCAGGTTCTATTTTATTGTTCCGAGACATATGATGATAGCATTGAGAATGAGAAATCTTTGCAAAATGCACGTATTATTAAGGAGTTCTGGAACGATTACTACGCTAAGCTGTTGGATATTGACAAAACGAAAAAGACTTCTAATGTTGATATGTATCAGGATGATGTTAGAAAGTTGTTGATTAATGAAAAGAAGAATCAAAATGGTGTGTTTTCCGATACTGAATTAATAGATTTATAGAATCAAATTGCAAATTGCACAATGAAGTTCGATGAGGATAATCTATTTACAGTAACTCCTAACATAGTAAAGTTCTTGATTAATAAAGATGAGCCTAACTCTAAGCAATATCTAAAGGGTTGCCTACCAAGTAGCTTACCTATGCTTAAGATGTTTGGTATCTATACGCTTGAGGCTATCATGATTCATGTACTAGGCTTGGTATTCAACACTCTTCAGGAATCATCCGCAGTTAAGGCAGCTAGATTTATAGATCAACTTAATTCAACTGTATGAGAACAAGCAAGGTTACTACAATACAAAGCACCAGGTAGTGGTAAGGTGGAAGCAGTACTCACTAGTAAGGTAGAATCAGTTAAGGATGTTGTTCAGCCCAAAGGTGCTAGCAAAAAAGAGAAAAAGAAAAAAATGCAGTGTCATTATGATATCGGGAAATACTTGCTCCAATTCATGATTGAAAGAAATGTTCTACATATATCAACAGATAGGGGAGTAACAAAAGAAGATCCAGTGCTGGTTCTTAAGAAAGGTCAAGGGTATATAGAGAATTCTGTTTATGTTATGTGGAATTTGAACATAAATCTGCTCCCTATCAAACTCAATCTTCCGATGCTTTGCAAACCCTTGGATTGGCAACCAGCAGAGAGGGGGTCTGATCCTGATACATTATCGGATCTGATAGGAGGTTACTTATGCAAAGCCATGGGGGATATCTAGAATCACTTTCGGCTATTAACTTCCCATGACTTAAACCACTTCTATATAAAGTTACATAAAAAAGAATACAAGCAGATGTGTGATATTTTGAATGGGCTTCAGTCTCAAGCGTTTGAAATAAACAAAAGGCTCTTGAGATTTCTGGCAAAGAATCGTCAATGTTTAGTTGAGTGTGGGCTTCTTTTACCAAATGCTCTGGCTCTCGTGAATCCGACAGAAGCCTCAGACATATTGAGGGAGTGCTACTTCAATAACGTCAAAGGTATTAAGAATGCTTGTAGCTATAACATATTGTTAAATAAATTATGAAAACAGGTGAAGCAGGCTAGTTATGAAGATTTTTTAATAAGACTTGCGTCAGCATACGAAGGTTATCAATTCTATTTGCCAGCATTCATGGACTTTCGTGGTAGAATCTACCGTTCAGGTGTATTGCATTTTCATGAGCGTGATTTGTCAAAAAGTTTATTACTCTTTTCTGCTGATCATCCTCAACCTCAAGCACAAAACCACCTGTCGGAAAAAAAGAATCTCAGTCAACACTTAGCATGTGCTGCAGCCTTTAAGTATCCAAAGTTCTCGAACTTAGATGATGCCCTTAAATGGTATAACAAACACCAGACTGAACTGTTTACTTCGGACGAAAGTTTCAATCAATATGCTGCGCAAGCTAGTGATCCATTTTTTTCATAGCCAAGATCCTTTCTCAGGATGAAGGAGTGAGTAATTATCATCAGGTTCCAGTGACCCAAGATGCGAGTGCGAGTGCATATCAAATTATGAGTTATCTCTTGCTTAAATTAGAAATGGGTAGGAGAACGAATCTTCTTCCATCTTAAGACGGTCAAATCCAAGATGTGTACATGTGCTTGCGGGATGAGCTTAATAAATTGTTTTTTACCAGATTGAATAATGTTAGTAGTAGTAATTAGAAGAAAAAACTCATAGATTCTATGTTAACCAGAAAGTTCGTCAAAGGATTGTTTATGCCATCTCCACAGGGGTCCGTCCGGTTCTTCCTCAAATGGGTTGCCTCAATCTTTATCAAAGTTTTGGTATCTAGCTTATCCAGCTACAGTATAGTATACTCCTTCCTTGCTCGATAGAGCTCTTTGAATCCGCTTCAACTAAATGCGTGAAATAGAGTAATTTCTTCAAAAGCCAGTTTCTTTCGAGAAGGAAGGAGGCCCATAGCGAGTTACAATAGTGCCAGTTCTTGTACGGAAGGCCGTAATTCCAGTAACCTCGACTGCTCTAGGAATGATCCGGGCTAGCCGGGCACATCACATCAAAGTTAGGTCATTTTTCAAAAACATGGAAAATAGCTCAGTTGGTTTGGTAAGGGAGCTATTCTCTCACTTAAACCACTCCCATATTAGGTATTCTATCTCATCTTAAAGTTCCCCCGCATTACCCATAACTGACCACCTGTATCTCCGGAACTCAAATCGCAAAATGACAATGCTTTCGATAGTCCGTACTAAATTACTTTGTACGAATGCACATCTCGGCCGTCGGGTAGCTGATCACCATTTCAAAGTCTATATCCGTGGTTCAAGAAATGGAATTGCTATTCTCGATTCAGACAAGACACTGATTTGTTTACGAAACGCTCTTCATTTTATAGGATCTCCCAGTCGTCAAAAAGGTCGTTCCTTCTTTTTAAAGACCAATCATTTATTTATTTATGAGATAACGGAAGAAATGGCGAGCTATTTAAGAAGCTATTTAAGAAATGTGAATTCTCATTGTTTCGATGATTCTCAATAGAAGATCGGGGCATTTTTGACCAATTCTTTTGCAAATAAAAAAAATCCGTTCAAGAAAGAAGAAGATCAATTTTGGGTTGAACCAACAACCTGATTGTGTGGTTATTCTGAATGCAGATAGAAAGTCTTCGGTCATACTGGAAGCTGATCGATCGCAAATACCTATTCCATCCTTAGTTGATTCTACGATCCCATGGGAATCCTATAAAAGAATCACTTATCCCATCCCAGCGAATGATCCTATACAGTTCGTATATCTATTTCGTCATTCGATCATGAAAACAGTGATTCTTGAACAGAATGCGATTAGTAGAGAAGCACAATCTCTCAGAGTCACTTTGATTACGGGGAAGTCCGCAGGAGGGATGAGATCCGCCTGCTACTCCACCTCTTCTTCTTCCCCAATAGATGAAGAAGAAAATAGGGCCAAGGCGCTATTGGAGATGCGCAAAAAATATCCATCGGGAGATGGCGCTGACGCTAACGCTAACGCTCGCAAGGCGGTTTTGCAGGCAATTTCACAAAATAGTTTTTTTTCGTTGAGCTCATAACCCGGTTTGGGCCGATTGACTCTGAGAGCGATCGAGGGGTCGCGGGCTCACACCTTGCTTTTGCGCATAGGATTGAAGAGATCCTAGAATTTCATGGAAAGAGCAGCAGCTCTCTGAAAGACCTCATTGATCTCTAATTGGATTTGGAAGACGCCTCTAAAAGAGAGGAGATTCTACTTCCATATTTTTCCTCCAAAAAAGAGGCAAATTCCTAGCGTGATACAAAAAGAAATAATGGGCAAGGGCGGGGAATGATAGGTTCATAGATGTGGAGTAATCAGTTCTTCATTTGAAGAGTTAGTTGGCCGGCCTACCGGCCCGCAGATGTAGAGAGGTTGCCCCCACCATCCTCTTGAACTGCGAAATCAAAGCGATTCCTGTTGATGGAAGAAAGGCTAATTTCGTTTGATCCGATCCGCCTATGCCAGTTCGAGTCTGGCGAGTCGCTATCATCTGTTGCCCTAACTTTTTCTATTAGCTCATCTTGTCCGTAGTGATATTTTGGAGAAGGAGCAATTACCGGAGTGAGAAAGGTAGAAAGAAGCAATCATGAAAGCTAGTGCTAGTTGTGGCTTTTTGTACTAATCTTGTTTGTTCGGTAGCTCGCATCAGCAGCTTTAAAAGGAATAGAAAACGAGGCCTTTTCCACCACACCAGGGGCGGGCATTACGCTCAAGCAGGGGAAGTCAATTTGACTGCTGCTCGAGAACCTGTTTGAACAACAAGAAGTAGCATGGCTCCAGCGGGGCAGAGCCAATTGGCTACGACGTGGTGACCGAAATACAAATTTTTTCCACCACTTTGCAATTGCAAGAAAAAAGAGGAATCTGATCAAGTACTTGATGAGCGATACTAGAGATCGAGTAGAAGGTAATGACTTACTCGATGCACATATTTAGGGCTATTTCTCTCATCTGTTTAATACACAATTCTCTTCGATAAGAAGGGTTCTCTTGTGTCCCAGGGTTGATTAAGCGTCTGGTGGAACAGGGATACATTGTGTGAGGCCAAATTGCCTGACGAATTGATGAATATGGCTAAATATAGACTGGTCCAGGTATACCGGTCAGTCTTGAGCCACCAGGATAGCCTTCCACATATCCTGTTCCTCCCTTGAGTGGTAACTCTTTTCTAACCTTAGAATCCTGAACGAATTTGCTCCAAAGACTCTGTCATTGAAAGGAGTCCATAGGTTGATAAAATAGGTTTTCATGAAAACCACACGTAGATAGAAAAGGTAAGAGTTACACGTGCCAGAAGCGAGGAATACGCTCGGAAGCCCGATTGAACCTGTCCTCATTCACTGCTATCTCCATATATTGGATGCCAAGCTTGAAAGGGTAATGGTCCGAGAGGATGGGGCCGTAGTCTTCTATTACGCACGCTACACAGACGATATGGTCTTCGGCTTACCGAGAGGGGATAAGTCCACGCGAGTCACCCAGGGTCTCAAAAAGGTCTTAGCTAGAGTCCTTAGGGAGCTCCTACAGGGCTTCACTTCTACTGAAATTTCCAGAAAACAACCAGGGAGGCTACAAATTATCGGCTTGCCCCTGTCTCTAAAAAGTGAAGGTCAGCTCCACGTGGGTATTCCATCCAAACGATGGGAGAAGAGGATG